ACCAGCCTTAGTGAGGTTACTCCGATTGAAATATTAGTGACTAAAACACCTCAATCTTTTTCTGTAAAAAATTCCGTTCCTCATCCGAAATAGTGTAGTTGAGGTGATCGGGATTTTGCAGGAATTTCGTGATCGCTTTTCTTATAGCTTTTTCCATAGTATTTGCTGCCTAAAATATACCATTGCTAATAAATTAAGCTCCATTCGAAAGCTTCTCAAAAGGGCGTGTAACGTAACTAGAGATTGATTCAGAGTAATAAGGACAAAACGGTAACGAACCGATTCCATGTTTGGATTTTCTGCTAGGCTTCCTCCATTGAAGAACTTGGTTATTTTTTCATTTTCTTCGGCATCTAGTACACTCTCGAGTAATTGCATTCTTTTCCAGGTTTCCAGTATTCGAGTTGCTACGCATAAAACGGCTGGACTCTGCAGTAGTGATCAGATTAAGCGAAAAGCGATACATCTAAGCCAGCCATTCCGATAGGTTCTTGAGGGGTTTAGAGAGGGCGGGGGGAGCACTTGGTGGTACGATGATGGCGAATATAAAGGAAAAATCTATCAAGAAGGCAAAACGGAACCCTTTTGTTAGGCCATTAATTTTGCGTTGGACGAGCAAGGTTATAGCAGCTTACGTATGGACGTGTTTACCCTATCACGTTTAGTGACACCGCGAAAAACCATGTTCCTGTCGAATTTAATTGTTTGTGTTGTAATTTTTAATTTTTAAAATGTTGTAATTTTTAATCGATAGTTTGAAAAGGAGCATGTAAGCATGAACTCAAAATATCGTTCTATGTTCTATTGTTCACATGTGTGGATCTTAAAGGCAGCGATTACGATAAAGGAAGCGCATCGGGGAAGCATATGCACCACACGAATCAGTTACTTGGCTGCCAGGGAAGCGAGATGTGGCGCTTTCACAACGAAAGGTGCGCTGGTTGCTGAGCAGGACTTCGAAAGCGCTCCGCCCCCAAAAGCGATACTAGTTTACTTGTTGATTTGGACGAGCTGCGTGGCCAGCAGCGGCGCAAATGGAGCATCTCGATTAAAGCGTTGTTTGTCATTAAACGCGTTGCGGTGAACTCGTTCATACGTCCATTTTCTGAGCTGTTACCTGTTCATGAGTGAAAACAACGGCCAAAAAAAGGGGGTCCGTTTTGCGTTTTTGACGGATTTTTCTGCTTTTTTCGCTTCTGGCGTACCATTGAGCACCACTGCGTCACACTAAACCCTTCTTGAAATATCGTGATCGCTGCCTTTAATATACTGCGCATTTGATAACATCAAAAATGTTTTGAAACGCTGACGGCGTCGTCTATGGCAACAAACAGGAGGCAAAATATAATAGTAAGTAGCGCATAGCGCTTATAAATAAACAACGTACCATTCTTGATATTGCTTCATCATCTCCAATATGCCCATCTTTCCACCTTAATCCTACTTACTATAAAGCGCTTCGTCTGTCGTTCTGTCGTCTGTCGTTCTGTCTGTCGTTCTGTATGTCTGTCACGAAATTCCCTAGCTCCTCGGGATCCGCCTGGAGGGACCGGGTCAAGTGTGGGATGGGTGGGCAAGGTCTCACGAAGTACAAAACACACATCAGCTAAGCGGAGCCCCGCCCACAGTGGGCGTGGCGTGCGTCGAAATGAACTGTACTGACGACCAAGATTTCAATTTCAGTGACAAAACAACCTCGAAACTGGGCCAAAAAGTGGGTAAAGGTGTGCATTGGTAAGTCACATCGAATTAGGGAGACCCACCCCGGTGGGCGGGGCGTTCTCCAAAAAAGCAGTGCTTTATGAAAAATTTCATAACTCGGTTGGGAGAAAGCCTACAGAGCAGAAAACAAATTGGTGTAGGGAGCAATGTCTAAGGTGTTCCCAGCATACATGACGTGGCGGAGGTCCACCCACAATGGGCGGAGCGCGCTCTGAAAGGTGGATAGAGGTGGGTGGAGGAGTGGAGGCCAGCTGTCATCGGTGGGCGGGGCATGACCAAAGTGGGCGGAGTTTGCGACGAAAATTCATAACTCGGCTCCAAGAAGTCCTAGGAGACCGGGAAAAAGGAGGATATAAGCGGGTGAAGGAAAAAAGCCCATTATATGCTACAGTACCTGCTCTCATTATAGCCTTCTACATGAACGACATCAATGAGCAGGCCACGAGGCATGGTGCTCCACGAATTCCCCAACGGCTCAAGAGCTTCTGCGAGATTATCTAATTTTGACCAGCAGAGGTTTTGCATCTTCAGAGCTACTCTACTCTCTTGGAGAAACATTCCAGTGTTGAATCGCAAAGAAATTAAATATCAGCTTAAAACAGGAGCGATTATAGGCATCTTTGACGCCGATGGCGTCAAAGATGCCTATGGCGGATGGCTTTATATTAGGAAGGTATGCAATCGCTGCCGCAACTGCGCCCGCGCTTTTCAAGCAGCGCCACGTGGCAACCGACAGCGGAAGGCGGGGCTTGCGGACGAAGGTGTGGATTGCGGGTCGAGCGAGCTTCTAGCGCCTTTGTCGCGCACTTTCAAGCCGCAAAAGGGGCGCGACATCAACGCTTGTCCCTTCTACTACTCTCGGGTATGGAAATAATGAGCGTGCTCAATCCTGGAGCGTGCCTTCAAGAAATAAGGACTGACATATGTGCATAAATAACGATGTGGTGGCCCTTTGAAACTATTGAACGAGCTTTTAAGAAATTTCTAGCGATAATAATAGCATTTATGGTGAATGCCAGAAACGAAGTTCAGAAAATCAGTGAGACTGGTCCACTTCTTGGTAAAATGGACTGTGTAGCGCACTCCCTTCCAAAAATGAACTGACCAACGGTGATTACTGTAATTAACAAATTTTCCACCTATGTGCCCCTTGCTCAAGAAAATACGATTTTTCGTGTATGATCCAAATTCGTGGAATTATCCAGCCGGACAGAAAGCACCATCAATTTCCAATGTGACTGCTTATTCTCTTGTCACGACTATTACCCAGGATGGAAACCCGTATAATTCCTATCACTCCGTTTAGCTAACGAAATTTCGCGACAAAAGTTAGCCGTAATGCGGATATCTCATTCTTCTTTCCGCACTGCCTTTTTTTGAGATAGCCCTCTGCAGCTTACCCGCAACGGTGCTCGTGATCAAGATTGTACTGCTACAGAAATTTCAACGATGTTTCGTAGCAAATGATGCAGCTGTTAGGTCGGCTATCTTAAAATGACGGTCTTAATCAACAACTTCGTTCATTGTAGGAGTAAATATTGAAGCACCTCAATCTATAACATGTTTCTGATCTATGTTAATGAGTTCTCTCCGTTTGTAAGCGTATAATGGATGCCCCTTTCAAAGAACTCCTCCGGTCAGTGTCACTTACCAGTGGACGCTGTTTGAAAGTGGCGGGCTTCCTTTGAACGTTGGGTCCCGCCACTATTGAGTCGCTGGTACCTAGTTCGACTCGCTGGTGCATCGTTCGATTCGCTGGTGCAACGTTCGATTCGCTGGCGCAACGCTCGGATCCAGCGATTCGCTAGCGAATCGCTCGATTCGCAAACTATGACATCGGCCTATGTAGCGCAATTAACATTTCCCGTTGTTCAAGGCATTCTCCTACAACTATGACACGAGTAGAGGGAAAAATTCCAAATTAGTCAATCTAATAGTTACAGTCCTGAGCTGGCAGTAACGATGAAAAAAATCTGTCGTTCCCCGTGGCTTGTATATATTCCGCTATTGTGTGTTGGTGATACAGAAGTTGTGTGGTGATCTCGTATCTGATGACTGGTAGGAATAAACCTTTCTTCGCTTCTACTCTATAAACCACACGCTACTTTTCCACGAAATTCACTTTTCACATTAATTTGCAATGCTTCTGAGTAAGCTTTATCTACTTGTTACAAATGAAAACAAGGCAAAAAGCAAAACCGCAAAAATTCCATAATCGCAGGCTCACTTTAGTCGATACTGCGTGAAATGTGTTCTTGCAGGGCGGGCATTTTCTACTTTCTCAAATGATTCCTCTTCAGCTCCTTGATCCTGTAGTTGAAGAAGATCTTTCACACTTTGATTTCTACCATTCTGAATAGACCGATCCTGCCCAGCACAGGCGGCATTTCCATTTTTTAAGCATTCTGCCTTTGATCAGTACCGCTTTTTGCAACGTCACTGTGTATGAGTTTGATCAACGCTTACCGTGCACACGTCACTGATTTTCTTGGCGTTTTCGATTCCTAAAATGGATTCTGACAAACACTAAGACATAGAAAATACAGAAATGAGTATTTGAGTCCACTTATTCCCAGCAATCGGGTATTATTTGTAAGAAATGAAACTCCGTGGTCTTTTCCAATTCCGCACTGCTAGCCAAGGAAACTGAACTCAGCCTCGGCGTTAGAACTTACCATTCGAAAAGATTCCTAGGGTTAGGAACAGCATTGCAGATGCCTCTTTTCTCTGAGTTTCGTGAATGATGAGGACTAACACGGAGTAGGATATTTTGTAGAAAGCTTAGATCTATCACATCCTGACTGAACTAAGGTATCATACCTATGTGTGTTAGAGCTGAAACGCTTTAACAGGAGGCTGGCGCGATTACTCAAATTTGACCGTTTCCACAAGGAGCTGATTTGCACAATTCCTTCTGGGTTAGTTTAATCCGTGCCACTAGGAGTCTGTCCAGCTTTATCAATCGGCAACGAAATGAGAGCTCAATGACATTATCTTACTTAAGCCTGCTACTAACGGCTAAATCAAATACATTGTCGGACGGTAAGTGGATGCGTTGCCGCTTTTGCGTGGGAACATATCGGCCCAGTCTCATGCAGAAGGATTTCGTTACATATGCATTTTCCTCATATATAATTTTCAAAATAGTCTCTGAAGCATGGGGCATCTAATGCTATGTAAAAAGCCGCAATGTTAATCAGAGCAGAGGCAGACATGCCTTCAATGCTCTGCTATCATTCCATTCCAAAAATTTCATAAAGCATACATGTGAGGAGAGCGGATCTCAAGGTCAAGCTATGACAACGCAATTTTGAAATCCCGGTTTTTATGGTGGTTAGTTAACATTTTGGATGATTGCGTAGCTTTCCAATTTGACTGATGTAGTTCACCTGATTAGGTTTGGAAAGGGAAGCAAAAACGATGCACAACTACACAACGTCGTGGCTTTGCTACAGCCGCATTGCAATGAACGCCATCACCCTCATTGGTACCAGAGTAGTGCATAGTGAATGTGAGTAACCACGATTTTGCATCTTTCCGTGTTGAATCCTGGTTCATGAGCATGCATATGTTTGACAGTGCGTTTCAGTAGTATACGTCCATTCTAACAAAAATCCATCATTCTAACAAAAACGTTGCTTAACGAAATGGTCCAATTTAGCACCACACATTCATTATCGGATTCGTGATATAAGAAAACGGTGAACAACATTTTTTCAAGTCCACCAAAAAAGTTTTAGAACTATTTTTCCGAATTTTGACCATTTCATAATACATATACGTCCACCCTTGATATATGACTCGAGGAAAATTTTCTGTTTCAACCGGGGTACATATCCGTACCAAAATCACAAGACGACATGTCTCTTGCGATGCCGCGTGGTCTCCGTCTCTCTGTAGAAGAAAAGGCCCAGATTCGGGCTCTCCACGATGCCGGACTCAGCAATCGACAGATTGCCGGGCAAATCGGCAGGACTCACTGCGTGGTTTGCTCTTAACAGCACCAGCAGCGTCAACCAGATCCGTGCAGACTTGCAACTGTCTGTCTCGAAAACGACCGTATGGAGAGCTATCAAACGCAGCGGCAACATTGTGAGAGAGGTTATGAGAAAGGCGCCACGTCCTTACCAACACACACAAGGTGGTTCACGATTGTCCACCGAGTTGGAGCTTTGACTCAATTCTCACGCAATATGACTGCTTGACGATTCCTGTTTCTTTTTTGCTACAGTTTACCCTTTTTCAAAGTCCAACTGTCTTTTTTCATCTTGTGGGAACATTAAGGTGAAAGCCTGATAACTGCGAATCAGTTTCATGAAGCAAAAATGAATTTCAACGAAGAAACACGGGGTGGCTGTATCATTTTTGAACATAGGAAAATCGACCTCTTCTGAAAAAATAGCACAAAATTTTTTAGTGTTTTCGACATGGATTTTTGTGTTGATATCTGAACTCGCCATGAAATTTGTCACATTTTCTATCTGGACAGTTTTTCAGAAACTCTATAAACTTTGAAGTTTTCGAACAAATTTTAGGTGGCTGTATCATTATTGAACGCAGTGTATTTCTTCAACATGTGGTTGAATGTTAGCGTTATTTTCTTGTACTTCTGTTAGGGTTTTTCGCTTTCTTCTTTGAGGATTGGATACTTTATTCGACTTCATGTTTTCTGTTTATATTGGCTCTGGTGGCGCACCTCTTGCGCAATAAATATCCTGTATATTCACAACTTAGAGCGCATAGTTCCACAGGTCCCAGCTTTTGAGATGGTGGTATTCTATGCCCAGCCCTGACGGCAATCAAATATGTAAAACCATATTCAGAGAGCCTTCAACAGAGTGTTCATTTCGAAAACCTGAGTACATTGAAATTACCGTAGTCCGTTGCACATTTTTGGCGACGTGAAGAATGGCTAGTATTCGCCGAGTTCACGTCAGGCTGGAATAGGAAAATGGAGTTAGAGACTAGTTTTGTGGCAAGTCATTCATTGATTGACCTCCTTTGTTTTCTTCGCAATGTGACTCCACACCGCTTTGAGCTTTTTACGACGTTCAGCGTCATGAGCGTGAGGCATCTGAAGGCAGCTGTGCTTTTGGCAGTCGATGTCATCACCATAAACGTGCAATTTTTTCGGACACCTCCGCTTACCTAACTACCTTAACTCAGTTTAAAGGTAGTGTTTCTTACAGAACACGCGTTCTCTGCTCCGCTGACCGTCTCATTTATTTTTCAGCAACCATCAACTTTGAGGAAGTATCAGTATTTGTCTGTCATCGAGCTCGAGATGACTGCTCAAACCTCAAGCAACTACCTCACCTCTTGAGTCTTGACTTGTTTACCCTGTGTGATTCCCCAGTAACTAACTGAGCCGCTCATGTCGTTAGGGGAGGGAGGGAAGCACTCTCAAGTGAGTGAGCCATTCATAGTAGTCCAGATTAGGCCATAGGGAGGAGCAGGATTTTGAGGGAGGATGTGTGTTGTGTTCCACCTGACGTTTCTTCCGTCTGGTTTTTCCCATAAGTTTAGTCGTAGTGTCACTTCCATCGGTCCTGTTTTTAATGGCCTCCCCGTCCCTAAACCATGAGCGCCCTGATTGATTAACAAGGATAAGAAACGGCTGCTCGATCATGATTCATTTCGACAAGAGGTCCGTTATTGCTTCTCAGTCATCTTGTCCTACTATATATGATTCGCTGTGTGTGTATGCGTGTATGTGTGTG